CCCCAAAACCCCAAAACCCCAAAACCCCTAAAGATTAACTTTTTTAGAATAAGTAAAAATCTAATTAATATAAATTAATAGCAAAATCACTAGTTGTATTTTAGAATATATTGCTTTTCAATGTTTCTTCTAAAAATTGGAAATTTTTATAATTAGATTAATCTTTCTTGATTTAATCTTTCTAACTCCTTATAATTTTGAGCCACTAACTCTTCCTCTCTTTATTTAGCTTTATCTAATTTTATTTTTTCATTAATCTGATCAAAATCATAAACCATTAATTCATCTTAGGAAAAATTAGTTGCTTCATAAATATTGGATAATAAATTAAGACTCTGAGAGGTCTCATGAGAAGGTTATTTTGATTTAACTTCAAAATTTTCTTTAGAATTCTTTCTATTGTAAGATTTCGTTTATTACGCTATCGTATTTTCCTGCTAAGTAGTATTATCATTTAATCCATGTTTCGAAGTATTTGTACTATCAAATTTCTCCCACTATTTTGCATTAAATGGTTTGAGAAATATCTTTTTGGAACTATTATTTTCAATTTTTTTCGTTTTTTAACTTAACTGATTATTTATTTATTCAAATAATTTTGTATTTTACACTGATCTATTATGATTTCTTTTATTTTTTATTTTTTCTTGCCTTATTTTATTTTTAATTAGAGTAAATGTTTTAATTCCCATATGTAATATATTGATTGCCATGAAAATGATAGATATCGAAATTGGAATTAAGCCCAGTTGCATCTTTACATCATAATCAAGTTGATAATTATCTAAGAATGGAATAAAGGAGTAAATAATTGCCAGTATGCAAAATTCATTAAATAATTCAAGATAGTTCTACTCTATAGGAATATATGGTCAGTATTTAACAATATAAAGGCAAGAAGATAGCTACAAAAACATAATAAAGGTAAGCTAGACACCTTAGGAATTGTCGATATTAGTTAAGATTAGCGAGTATAAAAGAACTCGTGTAATCGACAAAGGAGCAAATATTTAATGCTCATTATTCATGATCTTAGTTGTTTCTTAAATTATTGAGAACTTTAATCCATAGTTAGAAACGTGTAATAAACCACTTTCTAACTCCTTATAATTTTGAGCCACTTACTCTCCTTGTCTTTATTTAGCTTCTTCTAATTTTATTTTTTCATTAATCTTATCAAAATCATAGGCCATTAATTCATCTTAATAAAAACTAGTTAATTCGAATATATTGGAAAATACATTAAGACTCTGAGTTGTCTCATGAGAAGGTTATTTTTAATTGGCTTTAGAATTTTCTTTAGAATTCTTAATATTGTGAGATTTTTCTTATTATAATATCTTATTTTCCTGCTGAGTGTTATTCCTACTTAATCCTTATTTCGAAGTATTTATCCAATTAAATTTGTTCCACTATTATACATTTAATGGTTTAAGAAATATCTATTAAGTACTATTTTTTTCAATTATTTTTGTTTTCTAACTTAATTGATTATAAATTTAATGAAATAAACTTGGACGCTATACTAATCCAATTTGATTTCTTTTATTTTTTATTTTTTTAAGCTTTATTTTAATTTTAATTAGAGTAAACGCTTTTATTCCCATATTTAATATATTAATTGCCATGAAAATAATTGATATCGAAATTGGGATGAAGCCCAATTGCATCTTTACATCGTAATCAAGTTAATAATTATCTAAGAATGGAATAAAAGAGTAAACAATTGCCATTATGCAAATTTCATTAAATAATTCAAGATAGTTTTATTCTATAGTAATGTATGGTCATTTTTCAATAATATAAAAACAAGTAAATACTTGCAAAAGCATAATTAAGGTAAGCTAAACACCTTAGGAATTGTCGATATTAGTTAAGATTAGCGAGTATAATAGAACTCGTATAATCGACAAAGCAGCAAATATTTAATACTAATTATTCATGGTCTTAGTTATTTCTTAAATTATTGAGAACTTTAATCTGTGGTTAGAAACGTGTAATAAACCAATAAGAGGAAATAAAATTGAAAGTCCCAGAAGAATAAAAGTCAAAATAGTAGCTGATATATCTATAAGTTCCCTTAAACATAACTAAAAATTTCAAAAATCAGAATTTTACATCTTAAATATTTATCAGTGAGCATAAGGTTAATTCCAAATATGATTCTAAGTAAAATCTTATTTATAAAGACTTGGAATTTTTATCACTTAGAAGATTCTTTAGTTTTTTGATACTTTAAAAAATAAATAAAAAGTAATTTACATCCATGATTATATCATCAAAAGTTGTACAAATTTACCCAATATAGTTACTATAGTAATCAACATTAGAATGTAAAACAAAAGCCCTAAATTAATTATGACATTTGTGCTATCATATCTCATTTGCTCAAAGTAATAATTATGAATGTTATTTTTATATTCTGATTTTTCTTTTTTGAACATCACTTCATTTATAAAATCTATTGGAATCAATTAAAAGCTAGTGACATCATTGATAAATCCAAAAAGCATTTATGTGTTAGAAGGGATATTAATAGACATTAAAGGCATGTGAGATATCAACTAGAAACTATTTATCATACTCCATAGTAGACTCAAACTTTAACTCCTATTAAAAATGAAGTTAATTTGACTCTTACAAAAAAAGATTTATTAGTATATTTGTACCCATAATTCCAAGCAAAGTTGTCTTCATTACTTACCCGGTTTTCTCAACTAGATTACCATCTACAATAAATTCAATCATCTATAATATACTTAATGAGATTTATTGAGGTATGCTCTTTTGAATCTCTAAATTTTGCTTTATCATTTTCTATGAGTCCTAGCTAATAAAGAGATACTCCTTCTTAAATAATACTATCAGTTAATCTCTTCCCTAAATGAATTAGATTTTTATCTTACTAAGAATTAAGATATATTTTTATAGTCTGCAAAGTGCACTTGAATTTCTAAGTTCATAGTTGTGAGTCTTATTATTTCATATTGCACTTTATATCTTTATTCTCTTTATTAGACGAAAATCTCAATAGAGTCAATATAAGCTGAGCTTATTAATAAGTTTCCAAAATTAGATTAATTATAGAGTAATTTTATGTTTGTCTCAAATTTAATATTGACTTTGCCTTAATTACTGATTTGAGTAATCTGAGCTATAAAATTCTATGCTTTAAAAGATCTAAGCATTTATTCTCGAATCTATGAATCAAGAATATCATTATCTAAACTATTAATTTCGTTTTATTTATCCTTAATTTCCAGCTTTATGATTTTCAAAAAGAATTAATATTCTTAAGATTTAGAATTTGAGTTATTATCTACCAGCAAGATCTTGATAGTATATATGCCAATAAATTCTTTTGTTGGAGAAATTTTCAAAAATTTGTTGCCATAAAGTTAAATTAAATCTTGAATTTATTATGCATATACAATAACTCTAACTTAATCTTATTCAAGATCTTAAATATAAGGCAAATTAATAATTTTTTCTTCATTTTCATAAATTATTACATTCTTCAGTTCTTCTAGAAAGTAAGGCGGACTATTTTATTGATTTGTTATTTTTAACTTTTCGACATTGATATTAATATTATAAACCCATTTGAAATTTTAGCTATTCATATTTTCCTAGATTATCAATATTAATCTTAAACTAATCAATCCCAGGTATTTTTTGCTTGGCGTACTGATGTAAATTTCTTAACTTGTACTATTTAATTGGATAAATTTTGGAACAGCAGCTTCTTAGAATTCATGGCTTAACAGCTTATAATTAACCTAGTAGCCACTGCAAAATCTTCCTTGAAAAATGTATTCTTTTAAACTAATAATAAGGAGTTGATTTTTCGATCCAACTGTATAGTTGAATTAAGGTAAATTTTGAGAAACATTATCATAAGAATTCGATTATTGCAATCTACAATTCTAATGAATATTCAATTTCGTATTGATTTATAATGGTGAGTCATAATATATTCCCTTATCATCTCTGTATTGAACTGTAAAATTAAAATCACTATTATTAATAATCTAAGTTGCCATAAAATTGAAACTTAAGATTTATCCTAATTTTAGAGAGTGAATTTATTCTAAGAATTATCTTTCTATTGAATTTAGAATCTCAATATTTTGAAATGAAAATGTAAGGTAAAATGTCGGATCTTGCATGTCTGAGCATCCTACAAGATAGAATGAATTTACTACTATTTTACAATTTTCACCTAGATAGCAATCAATTCCATCTGGATTTTTTTACTTCTAAAATATTCTTAATGGACCAACTTGATAGTTAGAGCTATTATATTCTAACTTATATAACTTTGAATATTGTGTCAAGCTATCTTTCTTTTAAAGTTAAGAATTACTGTTGTAAACTAAAAAATTATAGTAAGTGGCATTTTCTGGAAAAAATTGTACAATGTTACCATGAAATGGTTAAAAATTAGGATTAACATTTTCTTTTTCAAAATCTCTTTATTTGTAATTCATAGCTTCATTGTTTGACCATATAGCTCCTTAGGAATTACCATTATCACTTTAAAACTAGATCAATTCAAAGCCATAATTGGGATTTTTGTTGGTTACTATATAATCAGTCATTGTCTAAAAATTTATTGTAGGCCTTATAAACCAGACATTGATATTTTTGTTAGATTTTTCTTATAATGTTGTAAAAGGGAGAACTATTATCAATTACTGCAGAGAATTACTATATTGCTAAATTCTGTAATGTAGAAATAAGTTAGGTAATTTATCTTCAATTGAAAAGCATCTGGCTGAGCTAAATTATTGATGATCTCCTTATTACTAGAGTGATCTAATTTCTAATCCTTATGATGATAAAAATTTTAGACTTAGTAACCCAAATGATATACCGTTTTCTACAATTGACTGGTCTTATTCTACACATCCTATGATGTAAGTTGCTTCATTAAATGATATTTCCCTAATATATTTTACACCTAGAATAAGTTAATAGGTATATAAAATATACTTATATGCATGACTAATAGTTACGGATTCAAATGAATTAGAAATGCACTACGAAGGTCATAAGTATTATTTCCCTCGAAAACATAGGAAAGTAAGTAGTTATTTATATCAGGAGCAAATTTTCTTCCTAAGAAATAAATCAATTCTGTACTTTTCTATAAATACATTGAATTGATAATACTATTTTATGCGAACAACTTCCTCTGTCTAAAAATAGTTTTTTATAAAGATAATAACTTACAATTTAATCCTCGACAAGTTAGCAAAAAATATAAGTAGGTAGGCATTTCCTTTATAATCTTAGGTACTAATGATTAATTCTTTGTTCTTATTGACTAAAATACTCTGCTTTCTCTGGTAGATAAGAATTGTATTAACAGAGATACTACGATTCACAGATCCA